GTCGGGCCAGGGCTCGAGCGCCAGCGGCCGCCTCGGGGTGACAGTGGCAGGCTGAGGGCCGCGCCCCTCCGCGGCCTCGGAAGGAGCGCCGCGCCGACCCGCCGCGGCTTGGGCCCCGCTGTGCCGCCTGACGCCGTTTTCTCCCGCGAAGAGCGCCGCCCCGGGACGGGACTCCGCCGGGGTCTCGGGCAGCTGGGGCCCCGGCCCGCTGTCGCCACGAAGACGCCGCTACACGCTGACCCCCGGCAGGCTGCGCTGGGACCACTTCAACCTCACCTACAGGTGCGCCCTGGCTGGGGGGGCGTCGGCGCGGCCGCGCGCCCTGACCCCGGCCCCCCGCAGGATCCTCTCCTTTCCGCGGAACCTGCTGAGCCGCCGCGAGACGCGCCGGGGCCTGGCCGCCGCCTTCCGCATGTGGAGCGACGTGTCCCCGTTCAGCTTCCGCGAGGTGGCCCCGGAGCAGCCCAGCGACCTGCGCATAGGTGTGTGCCGCCCCGCGCCCGGCCGATCCCCGCCGCGCCCCGCCCCGCCGCAGCCAGGGCTCAGGCCTGTCCCCGCAGGCTTCTACCCGGCCAACCACACGGACTGCCTGGCCTCAGCGCTGCACCACTGCTTCGACGGCCCCACGGGCGAGCTGGCCCACGCCTTCTTCCCGCCGCACGGCGGCATCCACTTCGACGACAGCGAGTACTGGGTGCTGGGGCCCACACGCTACAGCTGGAAGAAAGGTGGGGCGGGGCCTCGGGGCTGGGCCCGGGCGCACGGGTGCTCCGGGCGGGCGGCTGCTGGCCACGGGGGCAGCTGCGGGGGGCGGGCCGGCGGCCTGGGGCCTGCTGCGCCTGGCAGCCCTCCCTGCTGCGTGCCTGGCGGCCAAGTCACCGCAGGCGGGGCCTGGCGCGCTCCTGCTCCTATCTTCGGTGGCGGCCGTGGCCTTAGGCGGCCGGGCAGTGGCTCAGGAGACCTGGCCCCACAGGAGTGTGGCTCACAGACCTGGTGCACGTGGCGGCCCACGAGGTCGGCCACGCGCTGGGCCTGATGCACTCGCAGCACGGCCGGGCGCTCATGCACCTCAACGCCACGCTGCGCGGCTGGAAGGCCCTCTCGCAGGACGAGCTGTGGGGGCTGCACCGGCTCTACGGTGGGTGCCTGGGCTGGGGCTGGGTGGGGCTGCCCGGGCAGGCCCTGAGCTGCTGCGCCCTCCAGGCTGCCTGGACCGGCTGCCGGCGTGCGCGTCCTGGGCGCGCAGGGGCTTCTGCGACGACGCCCGCCGGAGGCTCATGAAGAGGCTCTGCCCCAGCAGCTGCGACTTCTGCTTCGGTGAGGGGCGGCGCCTCGGGCGGCGACGGGGCTGCGGCCGGCCGGCTGGCCGCGCTCCTGACCGGCCTCCCTCCCTCCCTCCCTCCCTCCCTCCGGGCAGAATTCCCCTTCCCCACGCCGGCCGCCACCCCGGCGCCCCCCAGGACCAAAACCAGGCTGGTGTCTGAGGGCAGGAACGTGACCTTCCGCTGCGGACAGAAACTGCTCCACAAGCAAGGCCGAGTGTAGTGAGTGCGGGGGCGGCGGCCGGGCAGGCGGGCAGGCGGGGCGCAGCCCGCCCCACAGGCTCCAGCCGCCTCTCCCGCAGCTGGTACAAGGACCGGGAGCCCCTGGACTTCTCCTACCCCGGCTACCTGGCCCTGGGCAGCGCGCAGCTGAGCATCGTCGCCAACGCCATCAACGAGGGCACCTACACGTGCGTGGTGCGCCGGCAGCGGCGCGTGCTCACCACCTACTCGTGGCGCGTGCGCGTGCGCAGCTGAGCCCGCGGACTCCCACGCGGCGCGGCGCGGCGCGGCCCATAAAGCTCTCTGGCTCTCACGTGCGCGCTCGTTTCTGCACAGCGGGGAGGCGGGCAGCGGCCTGCACCGGGTGCCGCCGCCACCGCAGCCAGCGCCAGAGCCCCCTCCGGGGAGCGAGCGGAGCGGGGCGGGGCGGGGCGGGGCGGGAGCCCAGGCATGGAGGAAGGGTCGCCCAACGACAGCTTAGTGCATCTGGAAACCCGTAACAGCCACCTACGTAAAGCCGCCGTGGCTGGCACCAAGCCCACCGGGCCCGGCCGTGGACGCGCCACCCGGGCGCCAGGAGCACTGGTCCGACCTTGCGGGCAGGCCGTGGGAGGGCTGCTCCGGCCTCGGGCCAGGTCAGGAATAGCTGAGAACACCGCCCTCCTTCCAGGAGGAAAACGCGGTTTAATTCTACAAATTTACAAACCAAAATATAAAAAGCGGAAGGGGACAACCAAGAGGAGTCCAAGAGCTAGGTGTCCTGGCCCGGCGCCTCTGGTCCAGCAGCCCCAGTCCGAGGGTGCGCGCCGCGGCCCGCTGCGGCGGCGCTAGAACTTGAGGCTGAAGCCAGGCCCGGCCGCCGAGGCGCCCTGGTTGGTGGTGGTGAGGTGGAAGCCCGTCTCCTTCAGGTCGTCATCACCCTGCAGCGCAAGGGGGGGCAGCGTGAGGATGGCACCGGGCCGGCTCCCCTGGGGGCCCTCTGCCGGCCGGGCCCTCACCAGCTGGCTGTAGCCCAGGCCGCCCTCGGGGGGCCGCGGGCTCGTGCCACGCTTCACTCGCTGTTGCTCGCTCTTGGCAGGCCACGTGGGGAACATGGAGGGGTCGATGGGGAGCGGGGTCTCGCGGAAATACTCGTGCTTCAGGCCGTCTTCTGCGTTGATCCTCCTCCCGGGGAAGTAGGTCAGGAACCTGGCAAGAGCAGCGGTTGTGGGCCCCACGCTGGGGAGTCCGTGGCGCGCTCTGCCAGCGACCTGCAGTGGTGACCACGCCAGAGGAGGGCGGCCCTGCCCAGACTCACTTGTTCATGAGGTCGAAGCCTTGGTCTGACAGCAAGGCCCCAAAGCGCTTGCGGAGGTTGTTGTAGGGGTACTCGCTGAAGGTCATCTTCTTCACTGCAGGGAGGTCGTTGTACCCTGGCCAGATTTTCTCGCTGGGGGTCCCCAGGTCCTGAAAGACAGTGGTGTCTGAACTGACCGTGCCATCAAGGGAAGGGCCACCACCAGACACGTGACACCGATGCCTGTGTCTGTTACCAGAGGACAGGCCACCAAGGGCCACCCTGCCCAGAGCCCTGACCCAGTGCTGCATTCACCTACACAACACTGGCGGGCCCCATACCCACCTTAAACACTTTGTTGATCTGATCGATTTCTGACTTGCCGGGGAACAAGGGCTTCTGTGTCAGCAGCTCCCCGAAGATGCAGCCCACAGACCACATGTCCACAGCTGTGGAATACTCCTGAAAGCCCAGGCATGCGGCTCAGGCCAGGCAGAACATACCTCATCAAGCCCCGTCGGGTAGGGGGCCTTCAGACACTGAACTCACCTTGGCACCCAGCAGCAGTTCTGGAGCGCGGTACCACAGAGTCACCACGACAGGGGTGTAGGCCTTCAGGGGTGAGCCATACTCCCGAGCCAGCCCGAAGTCACCCACCTGCAAGGAAGGAGGTGCTGGAGGCAGGCTGATCCAAGCTCCCGTCTGGCCCGACAGGGAGACAGGCACTGCACTCACCTTAAGGATACCGGCGTGGCTCAGCAGCAGGTTAGACGTCTTGAGGTCCCGGTGCAAGATCCAGTTGTCGTGCAGGTGTTTCACTCCACGCAGTAGCTGGATCATGAGTGTCTTCACCTCCCCTGGAACAGCAAGGGGTCACGTTTGCCCCACTTGGAGGCAGCAAGGCCTTGCACAGGCTCAGGGCTCTGTAGAGGGCACGTCCAGCTGGTCAGGGAAACCTGTTCCAGGGACTCCTGGCCCAGGATGGCCTGCCACTTCTTTGCTCAGCATGTCCCGTGACACAGCTGGGTGGGTTAGTGTCCCTGTCGTCCCTCAGGGCCTGAGGCCTCGGTGGTGTGGCCTACCTGGCAGGAAGGGTTGCTTCATGGTCTCCATCAGGCTCTTGAGGTCATGCTCCACGTAGTTCATCACGATGTAGATCTTGTCCATGTTGCTGCCCACGACGATCTCCTAGGAACGAGTGGTAGGCCTATGGGTGGCGGCGTCTCCCCGTGCCCGCCCTGCTTCCACAAAGCTGCTGCGCTCCTACAAACTCGAAACCCTGGTATGGTCGCAGGACTATCTCTGTACAGCAGTGAGTCTGCTTAGTGCTGCAGCCCAGGCTGCCTGCTTGGGGGGCGGGCCTCACCCTGACAGTAACGATGTTGGGGTGCTGGGCCTTGAGGATGGTGTTGATCTCTCTCAGAGAAGTGATCGGGAAGCCCTCCTTTTCCTTTTCCATCTTTAACCGCTTCAGAGCCACAATTTCATCTGTAAAGACAAACATTTAAAAATGGGCTGAAAGGGCTGGCAAGATAGCTCAGGAGAGAGCTGGAGACGTAGCCCAGCATGCACAGGCCCTGAGTTCAATCCCCAGTACCAGAAAAAAAAAAAAGATAGCTCAGGAGACTAAGCACCTGCTTACACAACTGTGGGGTCCTGAGTTCAATTCTTCAGACCGCATGTTGCACCGGCCCCACCCCTGGGTGCAATGAGCCTCCATTGAGTCTGGGCGTGTTGACGCATGCCCGTAATCCCAGTAGTAGGAGGGCAGAAAACAGGATCACTATGATTCCAAGCTGCACAGTGAGACCCTCTACCAAACACAGACACACACATACAAAACCCAAAGGCTATAGCTGGGCATGGTGGCGCACACCTGTAATCCCAGCACTCGGGAGGCTTAAGCAGGAGAATCACTTTGAGACCAGCCTGGGCTACAAAGCGAGCTCAAGGCTAACCTGACGGCATAGTGAGACTCTGTCTCAAAAAAAGACCAAAACAAACAAAACGCAGGCTGAAAAACACTTAGACATATTTTCATTTCTGTTTCCAAACTATTTCTTCTTTCATAGCTAGGCACTGCAGGGGAATACTCAGTACAGAATGCCTGACTGGGCCCCAGCATGCAAGAAAAGAGGAAAAGAGCAAAGGCTCCAACCTGTGAGCAACTGGGTGCCCAGCCCACACCTGCCACTCCCTGCCACAACACAGACGTCACAGGCCACAGCAGGGAGCAGCTAAACCTCTGGGCAACCTCTGGCTTCCAAAGTACTAAGGGCTCAGGCTGCGTCACCCAGGTCAGGATGGAGCACCCCCGAGGTGCTGAAGCCCCAGGCCTGGCACTCTGCAATGTACACCTCCACAAGCGGAAGGCAGATCATGGCCGCAGGCCCAGGCTGCTCATATCCCTGCCAGAGGCGGTGGGAGGACCACAGGCTCCCTCCCCACATGATCCAGCACTGTGCCTGCGAATCACTATGTCGGCCTCTCAGGACAGATCACCGCTGCTCTACGGACCAGCCACCCAGCCCTACACCTCCCCAGAGTGCCAGGACCTGCGCACCTGTCTTCTTGTCCTTCGCTCTGTAGACCACCCCATAGGTGCCTTCCTCGATTCTGTTCAGACACTGGAACTCCTCCACACTGCGGCAGCCCTGGCAGGAAGTGTGGCCATGAGGATAGATGGCCACACCTGACCAGGGCTGCATGTACACCCAGGCTGCACCTCGCACAGCTTGGGCTCAGGGGAGGGCCTGGCCCCACTTGCACCAGGAAGATCAGAGCCCATGGTGGTGTCCAGGCCCAAGGGCAGGCCCCTGTGCTTGAAGGGTGGCAAAGCAGCCTTGCCAGCCACCTCCTCCACCAGGGGCGCACAAGGCCAGACCCAACAGAGTGGCTCCCTGTGCCCAGAATGCCTCACCAGGCTGGGGTGGCCTGTGGCACAGGAACTGGGGCCAGGCTACCCTGCACAGGAGTGGGACAATCCAGGCGGAGCACCAGCAGGGCCAAGCATGGGGCAGACACAGGGGGACCCTCACCTGCAGGGCCGGCAGGTACTTAGGCAGCTCCTGCTTGAGCTCGATAGGTGACAGGGCTGGGGAGTCAGGCACATAGTCACCCTCAGTTGGGGCGCTGCTCTGTGGGGTCCCCTCACCCACTTCTTCCCCTTCTTCACTGTCCCCCGAGTCTCGGTCAAATCGTGACTCTGGAACTGTAAAAACAAACAATTACACAGCTGGGAACAGGCAGGGATGGAAGCCTGGCAGCACCACACCTGGCACCTGCACAAGGAAGGGCACAAGGTCGGCAGTCCTGGAGGGCTCGGCTCAGCATGAGGATGGGACAGGCTGTGCCGAACAGCCATGCTTAGAACACAGCTCAGGGCTCGCTGGGACACCACTCCTCCCAACGGAGGCATCCTCGGCTCTGGACCACAGAGCTGCTGTCCAGCACAGCCCAGTCGCAGAGGACTGGAGCAGAGCAGCACTTGGCAGCCTCGAGTCCTGCATCCTATCAGTGACCACCCAAAGTGGCGCCACTCAGTTACGGAAACCACTGTGAGCACTCAACAGCATGGTCCCCAGAGAGGCAGATGCCCGCCCATGAGCCACTCCAGTCCACAGTGAGGCGCTCTGTTCTGGGGACAACACACACGTGGAGGCAGGGCATTTGTGCCGCACAGGAGCCACTCACCGACCATGACGTGGTTCTCATTCTCCTGCTCTTCGCCATCGCTCATCTCTTCCTCGCTCACCTCTTCTGCAAGAGAGCACAGTCCATTCAGGCGGTGCGGGGCCGCCTGCCACGGATGCCGACGCCTCGTGGCACCCACAGAACGGTGAGCGCTCTCCTTGCCAGCCCAAGCCCTGCCAGGAGTGAGAGACAGTGGCCCCAGGTGGGAAGGGTTCTGAAGCCGCACTCCAACTTATGCTCCTGCACTCCCGGAGCTCTTGGGGACTGGGTGACCCTGTGAATCCCAGCCACCTTCTGCCCAGCCGCCGCTCACCTGCAGACTGCTCGGAGGCCTCCTCAGAGTTGCTCCCCGTCTCCTCCTCCTCCTCCTCCTCCTCTTCCTCCTCCTCCTCCTCTTCCTCTTCTGACTCCTCGCTGGTGCTTCCCTCCTCTTCCTCCTCCTCCTCCTCTTCCTCCTCCTCCTCCGAGCCTGAGCCCGACTCTGCTGCAGGAGAAGTGGAGCCACACGTGAGCACTGGCCTCACCATGGCAGCACCACCAGGCCACGCCAGGCAGGCTCGAGTACCTGAGGAGGACTCTGCCGAGCTGGTTTTCCTCTCACTGTCACTGATGTCCTGCAGGTCGGACAGCAGGTCTCGCTCTTCAATTTTTTCTTCTTTCACTTGTGAGAGAAACCATGAAAGATAAATGTAGAAAATTATTTAAATCAAAAACACTGCGCCACCAAAAGTTAGACGTTACCCCTCCCATACACTCAGCTTTACTCTATGTAAGCAAAACAGGTCACCCACACCCTTTTTTGAGGCAGGGTCTCTCCAGGCAGTGTAGGCTGGCCTTGAACCTTTCTGCCTCAGCTGGAATGGCAGGTGTGTGCCCCATGTTCAGCTGTCCACCCACATTGAAATGGAAAGGCAACCCTCAAAAATCTAGCAACAAAAATCTGGGGGAGGCCTCGTGCCTCACTTTGTGTGAAGGCTGACAGCCCCTCTCGGGGGCAGTGGGCGCCATGCGTCATTCTACTGTGACACTTTAGCTGGTGAGCCCCCTTC